TGCCGCTCAGGCAGCAGTGGAACGTTCTGGTGTGGAAAGTGCGCGGAATAAATTCTGAAGAAAAAACTCTAGCTATAAAGAATGCGGTCGATGCCTGTGGATGTAATGTCGTATGTTTGCAGGAGACTAAGCGCGCCTCTTTTGATTTATCTTATATTAAAACTTTCTACCCCTGTCATTTCGATAAGTTTGAAGTTGTTCCCTCCAGTGGAGCGTCCGGTGGCTTCATTACTATTTGGAACAACTCAGCTTTTGATGGAACTATGTGTTTCTCTGAAAATTTTGTTCTTGGTATTTCCTTCACCTGCAAATTTCTGGACGATCATGGGTGCTGTGTAATGTTTATGGACCCTGTCGAGGAGAGGACAGAAGAATGTTCACTGATTGGTTGTATGATATGTCCATTCCTGACGAAGAGGATTGGCTTTTAGTGGGAGATTATAACTTCATTAGATCCACACAAAACCGCAATAAACCCGGGGGAAATATAAATGACATCCTTATGTTCAATGATATCATCCGAAGCCAAGAGTTGATCAAAATCCCATTGAAGGGGAGAACTTACACGTGTAGTAATATGCAAGAGGACCCTTTGTTAGAACAACTTGACTGGTGCTTTTCTTCCTGTCATTGGACGTAATCTTATCCTAACACTATGGTCACCTCCCTCGGTAAACCAGTGTCTGACCATTGCCCTTGTGTGGTTAACATTGAGACAAATATACCAAAGAGCAGAATCTTTCGGTTTGTAAACTACTGGATTAATCACCCGAGATTTCTTGGTGTGGTTGAGTCCTCCTAGAATAAAACCTATCATGCTAATAATAGTGCCGCTCTGCTTTGCAAGAAATTGAAGTGTCTCTGTTATGATCTCAAAAAATGGAGCAAAGGGATCTCCCGCCTATCTGTCCTAATTCAAAACTGTAACTGGGCCCTTAGTGAGCTTGATGGGCTTGAGGACCAGAGACCCCTTTCGACACCTGAATCCAACTTTCGCATGATAGTGAAGGCCCATCTACTTAAGCTCATGAAGTTCCAAAATGAATACTGGAGGAAGCGATGCACGATCAGGTACATTAAGTTGTCCAGGAAAATACCAAACTCTTCCATGCTCTCGCGACAGAAAGATATCGAAGAAATACCATTGCTTTTCTGAAGCTACCTGACGGCAGAGTGGTTCAGGACCATAATTCCAAAGAGGCAGTGATGTTCAACACATACAAAGATAGGTGAATCATCCCCGCCATCCATGAAACTTGACCTAGCTTCAATCAGTAGACGAGTTGCAAACCTGGACTCTCTGTCGGCTCCCTTCACACATCGAGAAATCGATGATGTTGTTTGCTCCATGCCAGTTGATCGTGCCCTGGGCCCGGATGGATTTAATGGTGCTTTTTTGAAAAGTTGCTGGCATATAATTAATAGGGATTTCTATAAACTTTGTGATGACTTTTGGAAAGGTGGGCTTGATCTCACTAGCATCAACTCTGGATTTATCACCTTGATACCAAAGATTGGTTCGCCGGAGACAACGAATGACTTTCACCCGATCACACTGCTTAACTGTTGTCTCAAAGTCATCACGAAAATCCTAGCCAACAGACTGCAAAACTTGATCCTCGACATAGTGCATAAAAACCAGTATGGGTTTCTCCATGGCAGAACGATCCAAGACTGTCTCGCCTAGGCATTTGAATACATCTATCAATGTCAAAGTTCGAAGCGTCCTATTGTACTGCTCAAACTGGATTTTGCAAAGGCGTTCGACACAATTGAACACTCCTCTATGTTAGAAATCATGCGCCATATGGGCTTTGATGATAGATGGCTGAACTGGATTAATACCATATTCGGATCTGGGACATCATCGGTGCTGCTCAACGGGGTGTCGGGGAGGCAATTTCGATGCCGTTGTGGTGTGAGACAAGGCGACCCCCTGTCCCCCCGATCTTCGTCTTGGCCGCTGACCTGCTACAGGCTGCTATCAATGACGCACACCGGAGTGGTTTGATTAACTTGTCGATACCGGCACGTGGTTCAGCAGACTACCCAGTGGTACAGTACGCAGACGACACGATCTTCCTGATGCCTGCCTGCCCGGACCAAGCAAGAACCATGAAGCAAATTTTGGTGGACTATGCTGATTCCGTCGGCCTCAAGATCAACTTTCAAAAGTCGGTCATAGTGCCGCTAAATGTTGATGGCGATGTGATGGCTCAACTAGCACAAATTCGGCAATGCTCAATTGGATCCATGCCGTTCACATACCTTGGCCTACCCATGGGCACCACCCGTCCTATGATGATGGACCTGATGCCAATTTTTTTTTAGAAAAGGAGGATTACCCCCGGCCTTTGCATCTGAGCGATGCATACAGCCATTTTATTAATTATTCATAAAGACCTTATAAAGTAGTACATCAGATAGTCTAAAGCCACCATCTTAGCAACAACTGTCGCTACTCCTATCCACTTGATGAAGGGGTGCCGAAGATCCGAGCCTAATACCAAACAGACATCACACCAAGCCTAACATCTAAAGCCGGAGACCCCAACCAAGCCACATACTGGGTTTGGGGTACAAACCGGTCCAATGGTGGACAAGGTTGAACGCAAACTGTCCTCATCCCCGTGTCTTATGGATCAAGGAAGTAAACTGACGCTCCTAAACTCTCTCATCACGTCCCTCATGATCTATCCCATGTGCACCATCAAGCTCCCTCCAAAGCTAATTGAACACCTCGACAAACTCAGGAGGAGATGCTTATGGCGCAAAAAGACTGAAACTGGAGAGACCGGTAATTCCCTTGCGGCATGGAACCTGGTGTGTCGGCCCAAAAAGCATGGAGGGCTCGGAGCTTTGGACATCGAAATCCAAAAGATGGCTCTGCTATTGAAATTTCTGCACTCCTACAACAAAAAAGATATCCCCTGGTGCAAACTCATATGGTCTACGTATTATGAGGAGGTGATTCCGCACACAGCCGAGTCGTGTGGATCCTTCTGGTGGCGAGACGTCATGAGCCTCAGCGACGTTTATCGAGGGATAACCCATGTGAATGTGGGTGACGGCACCGGTGCACTGTTCTGGAAAGATCTATGGCTGGATCACACCCTTGAAGTTTCCCATCCGAGAGCTTTTTCATTCACTAGAACTGAAGACGCGTCGATAGCAGAATTCTTGTCCATTGAGACTGTGAATGAAGGATTTTATACACCACTTACGACGCAGGCCCGACTGGAGATGCAGGTCGCTACGGCCCCTGTGGCGTCCCGTGCTGAACCTGACACTTGAGTGTGTATATGGGGTGCGGCATACTCATCTAGGAATTCTATGCACACTACTTCAGAGATGTAGAGGCTGATGATGCATTTTGGTGGATCTGGAAATCTCGATGCACTATGAAAATCAAAGTCTTTGCGCGGCTCCTTGCAGCAGACAGGATAAACACACGAAACATGCTGCGTAGAAGACATTACAATGTTGGAGACGACATCAATTGTGCTTTATGTCGGGGAGGGGTGGAAGAAACAGTGGAGCATCTATTCTTTGAATGCCCCTTGAGTACACAATTTTGGTCCTCCATGGGTCTTACCTGGACGGTCGATTCCCACCGTCTCAAAGCCGTTCATTCAGGACAGAGATGCTGGACACAGCCAATGTACATGGAGGTTTTCATGACTGGAGCTTGGAGTATATGGAAGGAACGTAACAACAAAATTTTCAGTGGGATACCGCACTCCATCGACTCTTGGAGGGAAAGATTCAAGAAAGACTTCGCCCTCCTTATCCACCGAGTCAAACCTGCCCTCAAAGGGTTTGTGAGCACCTTTGTTGCTTCATTAAGCTAGATTTGTGTATATAGTTTGGGTCGACCTTGTTTCTGTAATACCCCTCCACATACTTATCCCTAGGAAGGGTGCTGGTCCCCCAAGTTGGTGTCCACCCCTGTCTTAGCCGGATAAATGTAAGGATGGAAACTCTGTAAACATTTTGATAAATTAACTAACGTCAGTAGGAGCCTCTCCTACTGTCTTCATCGTTCAAAAAAAAGGAGAGATGATACAGGAGCTTGATCGCTCGGCTGTTTCAATCAAAGTTTTGGCAACAAGCTTTGTCAGAGCTGCAACACCAATCGGATGAGACAGGAGTTCGAAAAGAGATTCATACATGGAAGAAACCAATCGGAGGTACTGTTAAGATTAATGTGGATGCATCGTTTTGTCAGGAAACACTCTCAGGATCCAGTGGAGCGGTGGCGAGAGACCACAAAGAAAATTTTATTTTGGTAGCAACTTGGGTTCTACCCCATGTTTGCAGTGCAGAATCAGCAGAATTGAGTGCTATTCGGAATGGCCTATACCTGGCATGGAGAATTGGATGCAATAAGGTATACATAGAATGAGATAGCATACTTGCGGTAGAGGCTATTACACGAGCAGATGATTATATGGGTCCTGATGTGGCAGTGATAGCTGAATATATCCATCTCGCTACAGATTTTGCCAATATTGACTACGGTTATTGTTGCAGAGAAGCTAATGTGGTTGCTGATAACTTAGCTAAACTATCTTTTGTTTCTAATTCGTCTGAACTCTGTGACTCTATTATCCCCGACTTTATTATTTCCCACATTGTAAACGACATGTCAACTGTTTGAGGAATAAAGTTTATAATGTTCAAAAAAGGAATACTTCCTATCTGCTGGCTTTGCTCGGACTGGATGTTGGAATTGACTGGAACTGTTCTAAAATAAGTGTTTGGAACTTAACTCGGACAGTTATTATTTTGAAGTCCTTAAGTCGGGACAAGTTGGATGTGAACAATTGACTGAGACTGAGAAAATTTACAGACACAGAGAAGGAAAGCAAAGCATACAGTTCAGCGAGAGGAGGATCGCTTTCATCCATGCTACAACTGACAACAATGACAGAACGATTCATGGCAAATGTAAATGTAAATGGCAGAAGAACGCACATATAGGAAACGTTGCCGATCGATCACTGATCGACGCCGTAGTCGATGCTGAGCTCGCGCATGGGTGGGATGGTCTCCATGGCGAAGACCATCAGGTGGGGGCACGACTCGTCCTCGTCGCCGCGGACCACCAGCTGGACGAACGCGTTCGGTGCGCGGCTATGGCTGATGTAGGCCGCGAAGTTCCTCCTCTTGGACACGTCGATCACGTACCCCGGCGCCGGGCACTGCGCGAACCGGAGTGGTTCCTCGCCGTCGTCCGGAAGCACGGCCGCGGGGGCGTCCCCCCACTCCCTCCACCTCGGCGGGAACTTTCTCGGGTCGACGATGCCTCCCCACTCCTCCATTGACGCGCCGGTACTGGCATTGGTGTTCGCGTTGGCAATGCGGGGGTGATCCGCGGGGAGCACGTCTCCCGTGAACTCGCAGAGGAAGGCGCCCGGCTGGATCAGGTCCAGCGTCCTCACGCCCCACTCCGTCTCCTTGGACCGGAACACCTCCAGCCGGTGCTTCATCCCCCGCTGCGTCACGCGGTTGGGGCAGCTCCTGGGTGGGCACCCGCACCTCGCGCCGCACTCGTACACCACCGGCCGTCCCCTCACGAGCGTGCCGTCGGCACTGTACGCCGGGCCGCCCCCGCCGCTCCTCTTCACGCAGGCGCAGCCGGACGGCGCGCACTTGGACGACATCTCGCTGCACGCCGTCTTGGAGTAGATGCAGCACTTGTGGCCGCGCCTCACCGGTTTGGGCGGCGCCGGGAACTCGGAGCATGCGAGGTACTCGAACTCGAGGGGAGAGACGTCCTGGTCCACCGTGTTGCGGACGGGGACGGGCACAGCCTCCTTGCCCTTGGACATGTCCATCGTGAGGTAGCCGGGCGGCCGGAACTTGGCGACGAGCGCGTCGGTGAGGTCTCTGGCGGCGCGCCAGGTGTTGCTGCCGAGCGCGTCCTGGCCTGGCAGGCGGACGAGCTTGAACCGGCAGACCTCGCGGCCGGACTTGCCAGGGCTGTAGGTGGTGGATTGGACCTTGTAGAGGCCGTCGTAGACGTAGAGCTTGCCGCTGGGGCTGGCGTCGCAGTCGTGGCAGCGGATGACGCGCACCTCGACGTCGTAGTTGCAGCTGTAGGACAGGGCGAGATTGCCCCGCTGGAACTCCTGGTCGGAGAGGTGGTCACCGCCGTTGCGCGGACGGCCGCCGCTCCCGGTGTACATCAAGACGTCCCCGTTGTCGTGGTCATCGAGGTACCCGCCCGAGGACACGATGCTGGTGGCGACGGGGTGGCCCTCGCTGACCTGGCTGGCGGGCACGTATCCGATGCCGGCCTGGGTGTGGCAGTGCAGGCCGACGACGAGGAGCTCGGCGCGGTAGTTGAAGGCGTCGCCGACGAAGACGCCGGGGACGGGGCCCACGATGCGCACGTCGCGGTAGAGGCAGAGCCCCCCGTCGATCATGGCGCTGAGGGCCCGCATGTCGGCCCGGTTGCGGCCCCCGTGGTGGTGCTCGGTGTTGCGGTGGCAGCGGCCCCGGAGCGCCTCGAAGATGAGCCGCGCGCGGCGCACCATGTTGCGCACCTGCAGCATGTCCGCCTGCGACGCGGCGACTCTGGCGCGCACCATCTCCGCGCCCGGGCCCCCGCGCGGGCGCTTCCTAACCGAGCCCGAGGCGCCGGCGGCCGGGGACGAGGCGCGCGCTCTGGGCGGAGGAGGGGGCGGGGGCAGGGGATACGGCTCCCGCGGCGGAGGGGGCGGCGGGGGCAGGGGAGACTGTGCGCGAGGCGGCGTGGCGGAGGGGAGGCGGGCGGAGATGGCGTCGAGGCGCTGCTGGGAGAGGCGGAGGC